GTTTTTTTATACAGAATTGAATTTGTTATATTTTTTTTAATGTAATAAACCATATTGATTTGTTATAAACCAAAAAAAATGAATTTATTTATAAATTATATGCTGCCGATTTTTTGCCGTTTTTTTAAAATACAAATGCCGATTATGCCGATTTTTTTCTGAAAAATTGACGATTTTTCATGAAATTTAACTGGCAGCACTGGAGCCAGCCAAACAGAGAGAGTATCAGATAAATTGTGTACAACAAAAAAATATTTATTTTGGAGATAAAGAGGGAATTATTTGAGTGGCAGTTGAGTTGTTTACTTCCCGAAGTTCTTCCACTCTCTGTCTTTTGCTCTCTCTCACACTCGCATTGATATTGCCAGATCATGACAAAACTACAAGATGTCGTTGGTTGATCATTGTTTACCTTTTTTTAATCTCATCTTTTTGGTGTTTTACCGTTTTGATTGCACCAAAAAAAGGGTTTTTGTTGTTGCCATATATTTTGTATGAGTCATACGTCGACTTCTTTAATTCAGGGAATTGCCTGATTTTTTTTTTGGGGTGAAAATTAATGATTCATCAGATTTGTTTTAATTAAAAGCTTTAGAAAAAATTGTCTCCGCAGGATAATGAACCTAGATCGACTTTAAATGTCTGTTTGATAATTAAGAATCCTCAGATTTTAAATTCAACATTTTAATATAAGACTAAAATGATAATATGAGAATAATAAATGATGATGATTGATGTCTAGGGTCAAATCCAAAATTTGGATTTTCTTATGTGTGTTCAAGAAAACTTCAATTTTTGAGATAAATATTTGGCTGTTTGAGTTCTAAATTACGTGGAACAACCAAATATATATAAAAACCAGTGAACGTAACAGTATAGTCGAACGGGACCGACCGTATGATACCCTACACAACTACCACTGAACTCAAATTTTCTACGGATCAATATTCCGAGCCTGAAAAATATTTCACGATATTTAGGCCTTTTTGACAGATTAGAGGTCAACAGTTCCTCTTTCTTACTCTGAACATTTAAATCATAAGATTAAAATTTTCTTACTTTAATAAATTTTGACCTATCAAAAAACAGCTGTACTCAATAGGTGATTAGATCCCCTTCCCCGTAATAAATTTTTTCATACCTATGAAACGCAATGTTGAATGGATTGAACATGTTTGCTACACGCGAATCTGTGTCATCCTTTACATGAAAACTGGAGAAGGCGGGTGTAGCTAATCCATTAAGGGTTATTTTCATCTCGAGGTCGATTCGGACATGAACTTCCAAAATCGATCCGTGAGAGCAAATCCAATTCCAACAAAAATGGCTTTCAATCAATTTTGTATTTTAAGGTTAAACCCCTCAAAAAATACTTTGAACAATTTAAATATAAGAGCTGGATTCAGATCCATCTGATGATTATATAAATTGCAAACATTGTATATCTGATTATAACTATGCGTAATTGAATTCTCCACAATTCTTGTAAAAATTAAAAATCTGAAATAAGAAAAACCCCAATAGTCATTAATCGATAACTAATAAAAACCGCAGTACTATTAAAAACTTTTTGGTACAGAAGGATTTTGTTTTTTAGATTACAGAAATTTGAAAGGTTTAAACCCACGGAACTTATCTCATGAAAAGATTAGGATGTATATATGAATAATTATCTCGAAGTATAGAACACCGATCACTTGAATTCATAATGGCGCCCAATCAATTAACTATTTCATGGAGTTATTTGTTTTGCCTCTCTACAAAATATACGAGCTGGATTCAGATCGATTATACATATTATAAATCCGAAAATTCAGGAAAACCCCCAATGGCTATGACTTTAAATTCCATTTAAAGACGTATGGATTACTATTAAGGAATTAACTTCCTATGTTTAATATATACCTCGGGCTGCATATTTTTGCTATAAAAAATAATGATACAATTTATATCCTCTTGCCTACTTGTTAAACTAACAGACCTCAAAACATGCTGTCGTTAATTATAAATCGTAAATTTGTATTTCTTTCATTAATCCATATACACTAAGAAATCATAATCCGCCTTAGTTTTATTTTCCTCTAAGAAAAAATTCCCGATACAATCCCTTTTCTAATATAAAAGAATAATTTTCTATGTTATTCATTCATCTACCACGACGGGCAATTCCCATTCAATGTGGCAACTCATTTAAATGCAAAACACACTCAATGACAAGATCTTCTGTTTGAACAAGAAACAACACAACACAAGAACTCCCTCTCTTAGCACTCACTCATTTACATTTCGGATTTCTCCCGTTCACTCTCTCTCTCTCACTCCAAAATGTCCAGTTAACTCAGTTTATCTGGCATGCTTGTGCATTATTGTCTGCTTTGTTTGGCTTTGTTGTTTATCTATCGTAAAGTTGAGTGAAGTGATGGCGCAATGCCGATTGTTTTGTCAGTTGAGAAGTTGAGTGCGAGAATGAGAGACGGTTAATATTTGAATAGAACGGAAAACGCGTGTGACGACAGTTTATTTTTTATATTTTCTATTTTATTGTTTTATTATAAGAAAATATATTTAAATGTTAAATATTTAATGGAAAAGAGATAATATTTTATATAAAAAAATACATTTTTATTTAAAAGAAACAAATAAATAAAAAATTTGTCAAAAACAAAAAAAAAAAATATTATAAAAAATGTTATAAAATTTTTTTGAAAAAAAGAAATCCCAAACAATAACATCTCGTTTTTGTTGTTTGTGTAAACCCGAAGCAGTAAAAGATGCACCGCATAACTTCTTGTTTTATCTTGCTTGTGTGTGTTCTGAAGTTGTGAAACAAGTTTTTTGGGGACATTAAGGCTCCATGCGAGAAAAAAATGTGTAAAGTGTAAAAAAAAAAATAAATGCCAGCTGAAAAACAAGAGATCTTGAAATTTGATATCCAAAATGAAAATAAATACAAAGATTTGAAATAAAAGGTGTTTTGAATTTAAATATCAAAAGAAGGAAAATAAACAAAAGTGTGTGAAACAGAGTTGCCATATTTAAGAAAGGGGGAATTTAAATTGAAAAATACAATAAAAATAAAAATTAAACTTAAAAAAATTAAATAAAATTTTCATTTAAACTAAGTAAAAAAATTAAATAAAAAATTTAATTACAAAAAATTGAAATAAAAAATTTAAGTACGCAAAAATTTTAATTAAAAAATTACAAAAAATTGGATTAATATAAATTTAACATTTAAAAAAAAAAAAAAATAAAAACTCCTCCCCCAAAAATAAAAAGTGATTTTTGAGTGTCTTTTTGTGCATCGAGAAAAAAAATTGTTCGGAAAAATGTCAACCATGCTGGTGAATTCCCCCAAAACTTTATTTGGCTTAACTCTAGTTTAGTAAAAACGATCAGATTTTTCTGAAATTTTTTTCAGAGGTAGGCATTTTTACCCTAATTATGGGGATATCTTTTTTTCTTGGGGGACGTACCCGGTTACCCGGTTATTTGACCCGGAAGTTCGGGTACGGGTACCCGGTTATATCCGGTTCTACGGATCCGGTTAATATAATATGGGTATCATTTTAAAGGTTATAAAAATACCTTTCCATTGAGTGGTAATATGATGGGGTTATCTCAAACCATTTTGGGGATATAGTCAAAAAACTGGGTTTTGGTCCCCGATTTTTTTGAAAAACTCCCTAAAAGTCGAACTTGGGTCCATTATAGTCCCTCTCCAAACAGGACCCAAATGATAGACCACAATTTGCCCTTTCCAAAATGGTGCGATATGTGGCTGTATCTGTTGTGGATCAAAAGATATGGACCTTAGAACCCTACAAAAACAAGAAAATTCTGTCGCGTAGCCGGTGTTGGTATCTGTCCACAGGAGAAAGTCTTAAATCCCCGGCCGAAGGCCGGCTACACAAAAAATATTCTATTTAGAAGGATTTTCTGCCGCGTTAGCCGGTGTTGGCATCTGTCCATAGGAGAAAGTCTTAAATCCCCGGCCGAAGGCCGGTCACCCAAAAAAATATTTTATTTAACAAGAGATTCTGTCGCGTAGCCGGTGTTGGTAGCTGTCCACATGAGAAAGTCTTAAATCCCCGGCCGAAGGCCGGCTACACAAAAAAATATTCTATTTAGAAGGATTTTCTGCCGCGTTAGCCAGTGTTGGCATCTGTCCATAGGAGAAAGTCTTAAATCCCCGGCCGAAGGCCGGTCACCCAAAAAAGTATTCTGTCGCGTAGCCGGTGTTGGTATCTGTCCATAGGAGAAAGTGTTAAATACCCGGCCGAAGGCCGGCTACACAAAAAAATATTCTATTTAGAAGGAGTTTCTGCCGCGTTAGCCGGTGTTGGCATCTGTCCATAGGAGAAAGTCTTAAATCCCCGGCCGAAGGCCGCTCACCCAAAACACACCATGCTATTTAAAAGGAGATTCTGTCACGTAGAAAGATTTTCCTTGTTTTATAGGGTTCTAAGGCCCATATCTTTTGATCCACTACAGATACAGCCACAAATCGCACCATTTTGGAAAGGGCAAATTGTGGTCTATCATTTGGGTCCTGTTTGGAGAGGGACTATAATGGACCCAAGTTCGACTTTTAGGGAGTTTTTCAAAAAAATCGGGGACCAAAACCCAGTTTTTTGACTATATCCCCAAAATGGTGAGATAACCCCATCATATTACCACTCAATGGAAAGGTATTTTTATAACCTTTAAAATGATACCCATATTATATTAACCGGATCCGTAGAACCGGATATAACCGGGTACCCGTACCCGAACTTCCGGGTCAAATAACCGGGTAACCGGGTACGTCCCCCAAGAAAAAAAGATATCCCCATAATTAGGGTAAAAATACCTACCTCTGGAAAAAATTTCAGAAAAATTTGATCGTTTTTACTAAACTAGAGTTGTTCCCTTTATTTTGTTAAAATCCCCCTCCCTCGCCGTTCAAATCCTTTTGAAAAAGGATTCGATATTTTTAAAAGTTTTTCCAACAAAATACAATGTTGCAGTCCCTGGAAAATACGACATCTTTAAATCGCTCTAATACTTCTCTAACTACTCTACACACATCTACAACATCCTCGCCAGCTACTGTCACCTCCTCGTCCTCAGCCTCGGCGGATAAAGAAGAAAAATCCCAAAGAAGACGTTCCACATTTTATGTTCCACTGGTCATTGAAGACGACGACGAAGATAATAAAGACGAAGGGGATAAGAAGAGATCCTCCTCGTCCTCATCGACATCTGGTAGCCTAAGCAGCCTTATTGGAGCAACTAGTCACAGCAAGGATTTAAAAAATTCCAGCAACATTAATCTCAAAAAGTCCACGACGAGCCTTTTTAAAGGCTCTTCTAGCCGTAACAGCGGTGGTAGTGGTGGTGGAGGTTCACCACGCAGCAGCTCCACCTCCGTTAAGGTAACCACACTACTCTTTGAAAGGGCCAATAGTACCTTGGGTTTTAGTACAACCTCTTCGAATTCCTCTACAGCCTCCTCGGGCTATCGTAGTGGTAGCGGAGGGGGTCGCAAAGGATCGTCCACCAAGAAAATGGCACCACCATGTGGTTTCAATTGGAGTCTAAGTGGAGTTACTGATGATTTATCGGCCGATTTGGATGATGATAGTGATGCAGCGGAATTTATTATAGCCATGAATAAAAATAAAATAACATCGAAGCCACCACCACCCATTACCACCAGCCCAGAGAAATCGGCCTCTGTTTCTTCTTTGAGTTCGGCGAATAAAAGGAATAGTAAATCTTCCACCTTGAGTTCCACGAAAACCAGTGGCACTGCCTCAACCCATCGCTTGAGTTCCAGTAGTTCCACCAAGTCCATAATTTCCACAACCAATCATTCCACACCCTTGGCAAAGGCTAGGCCACAGACCCAAACCACGGCCAGAACAAAGAGATATGGTGTGGTTTTAAATTCTCCAGATGATGGCAGCTCGCCAAGGAACTCTCTCAACAGTAATATGGGGGATCATGTTAGCGAGGCCCGGAAATCCACAAGTTCATATAAATCAACCACTTCCTCCACTAATGGGGGTGGTAAATGGCCCTCACCGGCTCCCCGGTCTCGTTACAGTGATGGTGGTGGTGTTATTTCCAATGAGGGTGGTAGTTTGGCCACCCCTGGCGGCAAATCAACGTCATCACTGTCGTCATTGTCCAAACAAAACAATACAATGCATGCTGTTTCGAACAAAACAAAACAAACCTCCTCCAACGCACACAGTAACAGCGGCAGCAGCGTCGTCAGCAGCAGTGCAAAGGCAGCGACATCGAAAGATAACAACAGCAACCACCCAACCACCCCACTCTCTGCAAATTCTTCGTCTCACAACAATTGCAATGAGTACGACGACGATGATGATTCAGAGATAAGTCGCATGCAGACGAACACCTCGACTCCGATTAAAATGATGAAGTCACGCTCTCGCACGAACATCTTGTCTGTGCCGCCAGCCTCAAGTAGTACACAGCAAAGCTCTGAGCAAAATCTAATCAATGTCGCCAAAATAAAAGCTTCCAATACAACAACAACGAATAGTAAACAACAGGGAGCAAACACAACAAAAATAACTGTTAACACCACCACGATGAACACAACAACGACACCCTCTCCAAATATTTTGCGAGTCAAAGCAAAAACATTGCCGCAAAATTTATCGCCCTCAGTTGTTTTACAGCAGGGAGAGGCATTGGATAAGGCCGCCACATCGTCGTCGTCTTCGCCCAAAAATTCAGCAGCTAATAAAAATTCGAAAAAATCCCCTACGGATACCACGGGAACATCGTTAAATCGCAAATTTGGTGGCTCACAGGCATGTAATTTGAATCGTGATCCCGGCTCTACAAAAAATGTTAAGTCTGGCAACACCATACTAACCTCAGCCTTTCCACCAAAGAATCTCTTCCTACTAAAATCTACACCAAAATTGAGTAACAACAGCACGTCCATGTCTTCATCGGCAGACAGTTCATTAACCTCACCACCGAATAATACAAATTCCTCCTCCTCCAATAACAACAACGCCAAAAATTATCCACCCCATCCCCATCAAATAACCTCACCGGCCAAAAAGTCTTTATCCTTCATAAGGCGGGCCCATTCCACCAAACTATCACGCAGTAATTCGCTCCTAAAATCCATTGCCTCTCAGCATCAGACACAAATGCAAACCGGTGCAGGGAATAATGCTGGCAATTTTTGTTCCGGCAGCTGGGGCAAAGATTTCTATTTGCAATATGATGTCTGCCCTCTGGCCTTGGATGAATTGGATACATATTTCCGGGCGGAAAATTGTCCGGAATTGATAAGGGAACGTTTTAAAATTTTGGATGTTGATTTGGCACCAGCGGAGGGGAATTGTTCGGGTACCGAGACATTGGTACAGGAAAATAGTACACTGTCATCGGCTGGTGGTGAAACTTTGAGGCATATTGATAGTAGTATTGGTAGCAGTCCATGTTCGGATAAGGAGCAACAGCGTAGTCCAGGTGGCAACTCAGCAGTACGAGTGACAGTTGGCGGAACGGGAGCTGAGGGGGATGATGAGGATGAAGATGATGATGCAGGACATCATTCAGGTAAGAAAAAGAAATACGATAATTTACCAAAGAAATAGATCTCGATTTAAGAGATCTGAAAAATGTTAGGAAATCGAAAAAAAATAGTTTTGAAATTGAATACAATTCAAATCTTTTATAATCGGACATTCGAAATTGGTCGAAATAGGAAATTGTCATTATAAACGAAAAAATGAGTGAAAACTAAACAAAACAATTTCCAAAATAAAGAGATGGAGGTCTGAAAATAGGGCCTATGAAGGCCTATATCTCGATATTAGAGGTCTGAAAAATATTATGAAATCGAAAAAAATTGTTTTGAAATTTAATACAATTTAAATCTCTAATAATCGGACATTCGAAATTGGTCGAAATCGGCGATTGTCATTATAAATGAAAAAATGAGAGAAAACTCTCCACAGATGGCTGAGCAGGCTGTTCTACTTTTTTTTCTATAGTAAAAACTCGTCTCTTATGGCTGGGCCATTTTATTCTGTAGAAAAATCCATCCTCAAGGGACTGAATATTTTTTTGGAAAAAATTATTATCAACAGGCAGATATTTCTCTCTCTAAATTTTAGAGAATTATTTTAATTTCAAAAAAATTAATTCACTCTCATTAAGACTCCTCTCATCATTGAGAGATTTCTTCTATTCGGTTTTTGTTTTGAGTTATTCCCAGCCATTAATCATAATCCCTCAATTTAATAACAATAAACAGTAATTTGCACTCTCTCTTTGGCTTTTACGCATATATTATTCTTCTTAATTATTAATATTAATAATATATTATCAATATTACCATTTTTAATTTCTATTCTCTCAAAATCCTCCCCATTTGGCCACCCTAACAAAAAGATCTTCTATTACGCTTCATTATTTGTTGTTATTTCACCTAGAACCGTGTTATCTCCTGCATTACCTTTCCCAGTTATTTTTCTTTTTAGTCTCTCTGATTTAACACAAACAATACCCTTGCTTGCTCGCTCTCTCTATGCATGCACACACATAATACACTCCTTAATTAATATAAAACGAAGGAAAACGAATGCCGCAGACACGTCATAACCTTTGCTCTCCCACAGTGTGTGTGTTAGTTCAAATTGTTTTGTACCTGCATGATTGAATGGAGCTCGTGTGCTGTCTCTCTCTCCATTTCGTTCTCTGTGTCTCTAACAAAAATAAACAAAGAACCAAACAACGAAGAAAACCTGGTTAATCTTGACAAAAATCTTTCGACAAAAATACTACGTAAATAATGAAGTAAACGTAACAGAACTAAAACTATTAACAACAACAAACGGCTATGAACATATTTGCTTTTAGTCATGCCGTGGCAAGATAAACAACACCACATTCTTGATGTTCGTTCTTCTTCTTCGTTTGAATGTTGTGTTACAGTTTTGGTAATCAATCATTTCGATGATGTGCGGCTGCTTGTTCTTCTTGTTTGCCATATATTAAGAAGATTTGTTGTTGTTCTTTTCATGGTTATTGATGGTCATGATGCTGATGGCCGGTCGGCCATTGGAGAATGTATCTGTAAAGAATGATAAAGAAACACAACATGGAGACCAAGAAATATGTGGATAACATATGATCAAAGGCCAAAAATATATCTTTGAAAGTTATTGGGGATGACTGACCAAGAGAGTGCATGTGTGTGAGAGAGAGAGGGAAGGGGAGCACAACTTAAGAACCTTTCAAATTGAACCGTTCACATTTAACTGAGTAGTGCCCTGTAATTAATGAAAACAAATTGAATGGTTTGGGGGGATTAAATGAAAAGCAGAAGATGAAGAAGGAATAAAAAGAAGAATAAGGTATTAAAAGAAAATCAGAAGAAGGAATAATAAGAAACATAACCACCAAAAATAAAAAAGAGCGGCTACTAAATAACCACATTTCATTCTTTATTTTCTTTTGGATAAAAAAAAAAAAAACAAAACAAAGAGCCTTGAGGGATACATAATTTATATGCATTCCCAAAAAAACAACACTAAAACGTAAACAAACCCATCATGAAGTGACATGAAAACGAATGAATGCCTTTCCAAATAAAGTTATCTCAGGTGACATAGAGACATTTAAGCGGGGGGTTATTAAACAAATATCCAATGGACAAAATGTAAAAAAGAAGAGACATTAACAATTTTTTATATTTCCAAAAAAGAAAAACAACAACAACAAATGTCACATGTTTAGTTTATTTGGGTGACAGTTTAACTATTGTCATAACCTTTTGGAAAACGAAAAAAAATTATCGTAAAAAATGACAAATGTGACAGATTGTTGTTAATCTCTGTTTTTAGTGGGGAGAAGAAGATACCTAAATAAATGTTTTTTTTGTTTGTTTTGTGATTAATGATAAAAGGTGAAGAGGAGAGATAAAAGTAAACTATTTTTTTTAACTAAATAAACCCAAAGATAAGTAAAAGTTAAGCCATGTTTAAATGCAGGGGTCAGTGGGGTATGTCAAAGAAAGTAAGTTGGAGGGGCCAATGTTAAAAAATTAATAAAATTAAAAAAGTTAAGAAAAACAAAAATAAATAATATTTTCATTTTATTTTTTAATTAAGTTTTATTTTTTATCAATTATTATTTTTTAGTGTAAATTATAACAAAAATAATAAAAATTTAAAAGAAAATAAAAAAATAATAATAAAAATTTACTAAATTTTAAAAATAAAAAAATTTAAAACAAAATAGAATAAAAACAAAAAAAGATAAACTGAACTATAAAAATATACAAAAAAAAAAAAACAAGTTAAAAAATAAAATATAATTAATTAGAAAAAAAAATAAATTTAAAAAATTAACAAATATGAAAAAATAAAAAAAAACAAAAAGGTAATATTATATTAAAAATTAATTAATAAATAATAAGAAATAGAAACAAATTATATTAAAAAATGAAATAAAAATTAATTAAAAATAAATTAAGAAAAATTGTTAGTTATGAAATAAAATCAAAATAAAAAAAAAATAAATAAATAAACAAAAATAAATATGAAAACAAAAATAAAAACTGGAGTTGAAAAATTAAATAAAAATAATTTACATTAAAAAATAAAAATTGATAAAAAATAAATAAAAATAAAAAATAAAAATAGCTTCTGGGGAGAATATCCCAACAAAAAACTAAGGGAACTGATGAGGATCAGTGGCGTGATCCGAAACTATAGTCTTCCCTGCCTTACCCCTCGGCAAATAATGCCATACATTCCCCACTAATAAATAGTTGTTTTTTATAAAAACAACAAACTGGGATTCAGCCTGACTATTTTGCAAAAATAAAATAAAAAATAATTATAAAATAATATAAAAAAATCTAAATAAATTGAAACCCTAAAAAAATAAATTACATCAAAAATAATAAATAATAAACGTATTACAAATTAAAATAAAAAAATAATTATAAAAAAATAAATTTGAAATGAAAATTAAAACAAAAATCGAAAGTTAAATAATAAAATAAAAAAGAAAAATAAAAAAAACTAAACTAAAAAAAAATAAATATAAAAAAATAAATTACATTAAAAAAATAAAATAAATAAATTGCATAAAAAAATTAAGTCTATGAACCAAAAATAAATTGTCTTAATTAAATTTTTTTTAAATTTCAAAATCGTAGCACCATTTTTTTAAATATCGTTTTCAATTACAAATTAAAAATGGTCTTTCGAATGTCCTATGAAGCTAATAGAACAAATTTATTAAGTCGAAGGACCAAAAAAAGTTCTTTTTTTTAATTTCAAAATTGTAGCACAATTTTTTTAAATATCGTTTTAAATTACAAATTAGAACCCCATTATAATGTGATATCTTAAAGCTCTCTCGTTATTTTTTGCAATCAATTTTTTTTTTTGGGATTAGATAAGACCCAAATAGAAAAAAATGAGGTAGATAGGTTAATACCTTAAGAAGCCCCTTTTTGTAAATTTCCACATGGTTACGATAAATAATTTTTGGTGTTGATAAACAATGTAAAAAAACAAAACATTTCAAACCTACTATTTTTTATGTTATTGTTGTTATTAATAATTGTGTGTGTATGATTTTCAATTTCGTTCAATTGAATTGAATTGATTTTTTGGCAATTTGTGATTTTTAACAATTTCATTACATTTGGTGTGGAACCGAGCGAGCGAGTGTCTTTAATCTGGCTGCGAGGCCATTTCCACAATTATGATTTTTTGTTTTTTTATCATATTTGTAATAATGGTTTTTGTTGTTGTTATGATTTGAAAAAAAAATTAATAAAAATAAATGGACCTGTTTGATGTTTGAAAAAAAGTGTTTGTTACATGTCTGTCTTTTTTGCCCCTCAAATAAAAAAATCAATGGTCACTGACGATGTCTTAACTTTGAGGCATGACGACGACGCCCGCCAAAAAATACCATTTAATTTTATTTTGTATGGACAGACACGCGTATCGGAACCTTAGATTAGTGCCGAACATTATTATTTGTTTGTAAAATTTCATGCTTTTTGTTGTTTTGATTTTCAACTACACTTTGTTTGTTGTTTTTTTGCTACGTATTTTGGGGTAGGGTAATTTGTTTTGTGTTAATATTTTTTTTTAATTTTTTATTTTTGTTTTCAATTTACAATAACAACAATTTGAAATTGTTGTTTATCTTCATTTGCTCTATTAACTGAATTTTGTGTTTCTTTGTTAGTAATCGTGACTGGGTTTTGAGTGAAGTTTTTTGTATTTGTTGTTGTTGTTGCTGCTACTTTTTGTCGTGAATTTGTAATTTACAATTTGTTGAAATTTTGTAATGGAAGTGTTTTTTTTTTGTTTGATTGTTAGTTAATTCGATGCGATATCTATATTTGAAAATTATTTTTGAACATGAAATTAAATATTCATATCTGTAAAGGGCAGTAAATTTTGAAATGTCACTTTTCAAATTGATCAGGAAGATAGAGAGATCAAAATCATCATTTTTATGGACATTTTAAAGATTAATATAAACATACAAAAAAGGTTCCTTCGAGTGATTATATAATTTTCCTATTAAAATTACTTAGATCTCTAATTCAGAAATTTAC